GACCGTTCAGTATCTCTATTTCATGCTTTATAAACGCTAGTTCATATTTCTTCTACTCCCATTATTCACCCCAGAATTTCAAAATCAGTGTTAATTGTGAAGGCGAAAAAACATCTTTGTTGTTGCTTTATCATTGTCATTTAAGGCCAGAAGAGTAACCTAGATTTATATGACCGATTTTCAGAAATGATATCTCAGATGATATTAGGCAACTTCTGCGAAAGAGGTCATGTTCCTCCCTCATCCGCTATCAAGACTGTCTCAACGATGCATCATCATGTTTTTGTTTTATCCTTCAACATCTGTACAAGTAGTTTTACGTTCCTTCTTGCGAAGAATTTTCAACAGATATAATTAATTTGTCATATTTGACTACAAAATATTTGTCGCGACAGTTATATTATAGATTATATTAGTATAAGTGCAATAATATGCTATTGGCAAGGTACCTAAATGGCTTCATAAGCATTGAAATTTCAACTACCTTGAAATACCTCGATTTGACACCTCCTATACTCCGTTTACTATTTCTTAATTTGTTCATTATTCATTACCTGTTTCTAAATCTATGTGTAATACAAAGGTATTGAAACACTGAATAATATGATTATTTATAGCTGCATATCTCTGTGGATATGAAGTCTAAGTTACGTTACGTAATTATAGTAGTAGTGTTATAACTATAAATTGTTGCAAATTTTGTTATATCATGGAGGCGGGGTTCTTCATTAACTGCATAGGCATCTAGGAGTAAGAGGATCGTACGGGGTCTATATTTCTTGCTTCACATACCGTGTTTCATATTTCTTCCGTTTTTTATTATTCATCCTAGCCTATTTACGGTACGATAGCGCGACTGCTCTCGAAGATGCGTATGTAAATGTTGTAATTATATGTCTCTGTCACTAGACAAAGTACGTATAGCAAAGTTATACTATATAACTATGTTAATGTTGTAACAGTGAGATGCAACAACTGTCATATTATTATGGAGGCGAATTTCTAAATGGTCTCATATGTATCTATGAGTAAAGGGGCCCTATAATAGAAGGATATAATTATACGATGTAGTGTTATAACTGTATTGTGTATAGCCCTTTTTATAGAGATACGGAAAGTGAATTGAATTTCCTAATGCAGTTCTTTGACGAAACATTTCATTCTAACTGGATATGGAATAATTGCACTTTTGTTTTCGTTTATTGTGTTCAAATATTTAGTGTGTACGAACGTCTTTGTACTCCATAATGTAGTCTCAGAGTTTCCGTTCTAGTGAACTAGCACGGAGGATGAATTTCAGGAACGCGTGTTAGGGTACAATGCCATTACGTGTATATTCTTTATTTTTCTGGATCAGGAGGGATTAATTAAATTCTCGAAGGCAGATCAGTGAAAAAGTAGGGCATTATTCCACTGTTTTAGGACGAAAAGACTAGGATTTATCATCCGTATTAATGCATACAGACATTGAGGTGGCATCTATATCTTCGTCGTCATGGGCTATGAAACCGTGCGTTAAATTGATGACTCAGTGAAAGTCGGGTTTTGAACAGGTACAGACGTCTTTGGTCGATTTTATCAGAAAGAGCAAACATCCTTCGCGCCACCTGCGATATCCATTGTAGTGAGGTGCTAAATTTTGTGCATTCGATTTTCTTCCCTCTAAATTAATGTGACATTTTTCTTGCTTGGTTTATTTGTTATCATTATTGTAGTTTAGATGTACCATTTGAACATAGCTGATCCGAGGAATTTTCGGTTTATCGAGCCGCCCAATAAAGACAGCATAGAAAACGCAATAACCCATCTCAAGGATCAGTCTGCACTGACGAACGAAGAGCTGTTGTCGCCTTTGGGGCAGATCTTAGTCAACCTCCCTGTGGACGTGCGCATCGGCAAGATGTTGGTAATGGGATGTCTGTTTCAGCAGATCCAGCCGATTCTAACGGTCGCTGCGGCGCTTGACGTTCAGTCGCCTTTCACGTCCCGATCGTTTCGGGACCTTGAGGCCCAGTCCCTTCGCGGTCAGCTGATGTCCGACAGCGGGGACCCATTTGCACTGCTGAACGTCTACCGCGAATGGTTGAACGTGAAGGCGCAAAATCGCGAGTCTTCGACGCGGTGGTGTCGCAAGCGAGGGATCGAAGAACAGCGGTTGTATGAAATCTCGAAGCTGCGGTCCCAGTTTAAGGTAGTGGCATTTCGTGAGAGCACTCTTTAAAAGCACACACCGATTAATGTGCATATATGGGAATACGCTTGAAATGAATTACTGTATTTTACTGTGTTTATCGTACTTAATTTTTTAGATGAATTCCTATATGTACGTTTTAGATTTTAATCAATGGGCGAAATCTGATTCGTCGTTCCCTACAGACTAGTGATCTGTGGTCTTGATCGCGTTACCGTCTAGCTCTCAACCTATACCCAAGCCTCTGTGACGTAAACTTGACCGTAGGTGATAAGGCAGGGTCTTCTATACAGAGGTGGACTTGGCGATAATGCGGTAAACCCGATTAGCTTTTTGCTTGGCCTGAACTAGAAAAGGAATCGTTCTTAGTCGCTGCCGGCATGGTCGGACTAGCATTATAACCCTTGACGGTTGGTATTGATTTAGATATGAAAGTAAAAATTGAGAGGAAATATGAGGATAGACAAAATTTAACGGCTGTAGCACCATCAGCCGTGAATACAGTTGTGAAGGATGCTGCCCGTATAAAGGAACCTGCGGAAATAACGGTTTAATCACAAAGACGTTCAATAGCATTTATGAGATAGAAATTATCTATGTGTTTGGAAAATCAAATCCAGAATCGCCAAGAGTAATGTCGGTTTCTGCGAAAGAAAGAATTCTTTTGGAAGACATAATTAAAAATATCCAGACGGTTCGCAATCGCTATGACAGTTAATGTTTATTTAGCTGGATTTAAGAACTGTGCTGGTTTTTTAAGGACGCAACATTTGAAGACTTTCTGAGCAACTGAAATTGGCAGTGGGCAAGCATTATGTCAAAAAATTGGTTTACTCACGTGGGAATAAATTATCAAAGAACTGATTAATTTAAAGGCAGCAAAAGTTGCTGAACCTGACACTTCGAAACCAGAAAAGAAACCGAATCGTTTTTGATGAAAGAGATGACAGTAGTGTTTTTTCAGATATCGGCAGGAACGCTAGGAACGATTTGAGACGATGGATCTTAATGCCGTGTGGTTCTTAAAGCGCCCAAAGATATAGCTTAAGCCTATTGTCGAATTATTTGTGAAGAGAAGAAGGAATCCCCTATTCATTCATCTTTTCATAACTTCGATGGAAGGTCGAACAGCCTAATTGAATTTTCTATTTTGTAAAGTTTTGTGCAACGTAGCTCTTACTTAAATTTGGGTTTGCTATCCATAGAACTAGTTAGTCTATGTTAATATAGTTAACTGGTATGTAGAGATTACATTTGCATAATCAGTTTGCATATTGGGGCTGCGTTCAAAATTCACTGTGATTTGCTATTACTTAGCCTAAGGCTAACTCGCATGTGGCATGAGTTTGAGCGTAACTGTTTTATGTAATCTGGTTGTTTATATAATGTTTTTTATTGTAGTAATGCGTAGTGGGATTTGTTTTCAAGTTGCATATATATATTTGCATGTCTGCATTTTTTTCAATGCGCGTTTTTTGACGGGTCGGTGTTTGTGAATCGAAGTTTGGTTGTGTTTGTTTTTTAGCTTAACGTTTTGATGGTTTTTTCGTTCACAGGGTATTCTGGAGGATAGCGATCTGATCGAGCACAAAGAGCTGCACTTGTCGGCTGCTCAGCGACGGATTCGCAAGGGGGAGGTGTTGCGACTGAAAAGCTTGAAACGGAAGTTCCAGTCGTCTCAGCGCTCTCGTAAGGTGCTGAAACTGAAACACTGGGACGACGAATTGGAGCCGGATGCAGCAGAAGAGGGCAACACGACGTCGACCGCGGACGAATTGAAGGACGTTCGAGCGGTCGACTTTTACATCACCCATACGTCGTCTGAGATCGAGGCGAACATCAACGAATTGGCGATGGATGATCTGTCGCTGTGCGTCATGAAATCGATCGTATGCGGCGCGCTGTACCCACAGTACGGCGTGCTGGACGTGCACAACAGCTACAAGCCGGGCAGTGACCTGGTCATCCACTCGAAGGCTAAGTCGTTCCTGCTGTTGCATCCGAACGGTTGTCTGGCGCAGGACGCTGAGTCGTTGTGCGTGTTGCAGGACGGCGAGGGACGTAGCGGGCGTCATCACCTCATTTTTTACTCGCTGCTCCTCGAAACGACCAAACCGTACGCGGTAAACACTGTCCGGGCACCGGCTCTGCACTCTTTGCTGCTGTTCGCGCGACACATCGACACCAGCGCAGATTTCCACCGCATCGTCTGTGATCAGTTCGTCGAATTCCAGATCGTTATACGAAACCCGAAGTCGGAACACGTCGATACCAAAACTGAAGCCGAATCCGGCCAGGATCCGTCTGGTCCCGGTTCCGGTTCCGGTTCAGGTACCGATAGCATTGAAGATCTGGTCTTCGAAGCTGTTCAGATCCGTCAGCGGTTTGCTCAGTGTTTGGAGCGGAAGCTGGCCGGCGACAAATATCGCAGCCAGTCGTTGCCGAAGCGAATTCATCGCTTCTTCAGACACGAGCTGCTGTACTCTTTGCGACACCTGCTTCCTGCCGATGTCAAGAGCTTGTATGGCTGCTCGGATTCGGCTGCCGGTGGCCGTGACAAAGCGACCGCAGTGACCGACTACCTGACCGTCGGCTCGTTGGCGAAGGTCGGCCAGGTCGAAGATGCGGCCAGTTACTTGACGAAAAAATGGCGTTGCGACAACTGCGGAAACGAATTTTATTTTTCGTTCGTTCAACGGCTCGAACACCAAAACGGCTGTGTGGAGAAGGGGAAAGGCAGTGGTGGCGGTGGCGGCGACGCTTCTGACGATGAACACTCCTCGGCGAAGTCTTCGGCAAATACTGCCCAGCACAATGACTACTACTGTAGCGAATGTTGTATTTGCTTTGATAGTCCAATTAATTACTTGAAACATAAACGGTTGCACTAGTAAAAGGGGTCGGATCTCATTAAAGTTGTCACTCAGACGATGCTGTTGTAATTCGGTGGTGTTCGGTCTGACCTACCGTT